AGATGGATGTGGAGGGTGGGTGGACGAAGAAGCGTAAGAACAGTGGGGGGCGAAGAACACTCTCTCTCTCTCTCTCAATCAATCGAGCAATCGATCAATGAATTAACCAACTAACCAACCAATCGATTGATTGATCAATTCATTGATCAATTGATTGATTGATTGATTGATTGATGGATTGATGGATTGATGGATTGATGGATTCATTGATCAATCAACCGATCAATCAACCAATTGAGGAGCCCTTGATCCGCTGCCCATCACGGGGGGGAGAGGAAGGGAGGGGGGGAGAAGAGGGGTAGCCGGCGTGGCAGTGTCGTTGGTCCGTGAAGAAGAAGAAGAACAAATCAAAAAGAAAAAAAAAAAAGTGGCAGTTGCGTGCATTACTACACGAAGGAGACGAAGAAGAAGAAAAAAAGGAAGAAGAGGAAGAAGAGGAAGAAAAAAAATTAAAAAAGAAACAAAAAAATGGCGTGGCAAGTTCCCACGTGACAGTTGCGCATATTACAACAGGAGGAAAAAAAAAAAAAACAAAAAAAAAACACGACTGTTGCCACGTGGCAACCGCGACGAGGAGCGGGAAAAGGTTGATTGGTTGCACGATGAAGGAAAAAAAAAAGAGAAAAAAAAAAAAGAACCTCGCCATGAAGAGGAAGAGGAAGAAGAAGAGGAACAGGAAAAGAGGAAGAAGAAGAGGAAAAGATGACGAAGAAGAAGAAGAAGAAGAGGAAGAAAAAGAATAGTGGAAACAGGGGCCAACTGCCTCTCGTACTCACTCGTATCAATCCCAGCTTACACGCACATTCCCTGACGTGTTTCGATCGGTTGCGCTCCGATCATCCTCAGGGGGCTTTCCTCATGATCGTGCCTTGCGACCAACCGACAGAAGAACAACAACAACAACAACAAAAGATTAAAAAGAAGAAGACGAAGAGAAAAAAGAATAAGTAGGGAAGAGGAATAAGAAAGGAAGAGACAAAAGAATAAGAAGAAGAAGAGGAATTAGAATGGAAGAAGAAGAAGAACAAGAAGAAGGAGAAGGAGGAATAAGAACCGGGGAAGACAAAAAAAACGCCGATGAAGAGGGGAGTTCGAGAAGGAGGAAGAGGAACCTACCAGCGAAAGCCATATCCTCCTCTTTATCGGTCATGAACTTCCTTCGCTGCCACTCCACACTGCTCCTGGACACCAAGAGCGCCGCCACTCCACGCTACTCGCCTCTCTCTCTCTCTCTCTCTCTCTCTCTCTCTCTCTCTCTCTCTCTCTCTCTCTCTCTCTCTCTCTCTCTCTCTCTCTCTCTCTCTCTC